ACCCAGACCAACCCAATTCTTCAGTTTAGTCCCCTAGAGCCCTCAAAGCCTTTCCCCTCCCCTAACTCACTTTTGCACAACCTGAGACCACCCTTCTCTGACTGGCCTACCCCCAACCTGCCTGGTAAGTTGGACCCTGCCCACTGCATCTTAACTCCCATAACCCTAGTCAACCTCCAGGTTCCCACATCCCTTTTCTCCACCCAGACCTTTGGAGTACCCTCTTGGCCAAGATTCCCCACTGCTTCCTGATCCTTTGCACCCAGACCAACCCAATTCTTCAGTCTAGTCACCTAGAGCCCTCAAAGCCTATTGCCTCCGCCAACTCGCCTTTGCACACTGGAGACCAGCCTTCTTCCCTGGCTGTCTTACCCCCCATCCTGCCTGGGATTCCTACAGCCAGCATCCTTCCCTAGAAGCCTCCCAAATTGTACTGCACCTGCTGACTAGATGGACCCAACTTTAAGAGGAAGCCTAAGAGCATCTGATCCTCCTCTGACCTGGGCCTCTGCAGGAACTCCTGAAAAGTGGAACTCAAGCCATCTGGGCCCTCCAATATAAAATCAAAGAGAGAACCTGAAGTCTACACCAACCAGCTTTTCATACCAAATAAGTAAACAACAAAGGCACATAAAGTATACCAACAGAAACAGACATAAACTCAAAAAAGGAAAGATTAATTCTCACATAAGAATGAGAAAATACAAAAGAAATCCACATGCCAAAGTCAACAGAGAAAAAATAATAACACAAAAAACCTAAATGACATCTCCCCACCAAGTACCAACAGTCCTGTAGAGGAGGTGTACATTGAGAACCCTTTGGAGATAAAACAGGGCATGGCATTCAAAAGAACATTTATAAACAAGATAAAAGAATTCAATGAATTTAAAGAACACACAAAAAAATCAAAGATCTGGAAGACGATAGTAACAAACTTCTGAGTGAATTCACAAGAGTTCAAAATATTGAAGAATACTCAGGCCGAAATGAAGAAGGAAGTGAAACACTCAGTAAGCCAATTAGAAATAACAGGAGAAAGCCTCACCAATAGAACAAATGAAATGGAAAACAGAGTATCAAGACTGGAATATAACTTAAAGTTGAGGAATTAGACTGCTCAAGCAAAGATTATGAAAAATTTAAGAAAACACAGGAATGGAATATGCAGGAAATGTGTGACACCATAAAAAGAAAAAACTTATGCATCATAGGCATGGAGAAAGGAGAAGAATCTCAAGATAACAGTATGGACCAGATCTTCAACTGGATTGTAGAAGAAAATTTCCTAAAATTAAAGAAAGACATGCCCATACAAATATAGAAGCATATGGAACATACAGCATATAGAACACCAAATAGGAACAAAAAAGGAACTCTCCACGGCACATCACAGTAAAAACACTAAATGTACAGAACAAAGAATACTGAAAGCTGCAAAAGAAAAACAAGTCACATATAAAGGAATTACAGCTGACTTTTCAGTGCAAACTATGAAAGCTAGAAGAGCCTGAACCAAAGTATTCCCAGTTCTAACTGACCACAGATACTGACCCAGAATACTTTACTCAGCCCAAATGTATATTAAAGTTGAAGGGGAAAGAAAAATTTTCCATGACATCAATAGTCTGAAAGAATTCATGTCCACAAAACCAGCCCTTCAGAGAATTCTTGAAGTAATACAAAGAGCTGAAGAAAGGAATGACTATACCCAAAGGGTAACAGAAAGAAACTAAATGAAGGTATAACTGTGGAAACGCAGTTAGACCTAGAATGCAAACAGAAATCAAAATGACAGGAATCAATACACATCTTTCATTAATAACTTTAAATGCATGTTGAATTTTGTCAAAGGCCTTCTCTGCATCGATTGAGATGACCTTGTGTAGAGATAAAGAGTCTGCTGAGTAATGGTCCTTGGACAGGACCCCTTTATTAAACTTCACCCACCCAAAGCTCAGGGACCATTGCAGAAGACGGATGGAAAGATTCTAAGAGCCAGGGAGGAGGTGCATGAACACATGGAAACAGAATCCTACAAGCTACTGGGACCCTGCTCATGTGATTCTATGGCAACGGTGTCAGCATACACAAGTCCCATGCAAACTCAGGCAGACAATAACCCAGCATAGAACTGGGAAAATGAACAGCAGACCCCAATCTTATCTGAAGGAATGTTGGCAACTGATTGCTTCTAGATAAAGAAGAGCTGATCTTCCTAAAACAAAGGACTCTCCATAGGCTGACTAGACTCAGTAGATGGACTTGCACTGAGAACAAGCTGGGAGCACTGACAACACAGTGAGCCTTAACAGGGATGACAGAGTATATGCGCTCTAGTGGGGGGGGGCTACAGGAGGGTGCGAGTGGGGACGGGGGGTATAAAGATGATCAAGATTGTTTGAGATGTTCTATGTGAAATACACAAAAAATTCAATAATTTTTTTCAAAAAAAGAATATAAGTGGACAATGACAGAATATTTAAATTGAAAGTAAAGCAACAAGAACAAATGAGCAATAGCATTCCACACTTACAAGACAGTGCCAAACCTCAAAAGTAATCAAATATTTCTAGGACAGGATAACCATCTTTAAGTCCTTAAAAAATTACTTGCATTTTTTAAGCACACAAAGATTTACCTTGACATTACTTCAATTAATGTTGAGTACCAAAAGAAAATATTGAGAAAATACACAACAGGTGCTAAGAAGATAGCCTAATCAGTAAATTATTTCCCTATAAGTATGAAGACCTAGGTTTGATCCATAGAACCAAAGTCAAAAGGCCAGGCATGGTGGCATGTGTTGGTGAGGCAAAGACAGGCAGATCCTGAGAGTTCACTGGCCAGTCATTGTATCCTGATCTGCAAGCACTAGGCCAATGAGAGATGCGGTCTCAAAACAAACAACCCAGCTGGAAGGCTCCTGAGATTGATCTCTGGCCTCTACAAGCAGGCACACATGTGTGCAAATGCATATGTACATATACATACATGTACCCCCTACCCACAATATAAGAAGTTAAACAACATACAGTGTGTACTTGGCTCAAAACAGCCTGCAGAGCAACATCAATATGGATAATTTGTGTCAATTATCTTTCTTAAATTTAAAAAGAGTCTTTTTTAAAAAAACTTTATATTGGAAGGGAGATTGAAATAGGGTCTTAACCCAGGCTGGCCTCAAAATTGAGAAATCCCCCTAACCCCAGCCTATGTTAGGCACTATGCCAGCTTTCATTTTATTAGTAAAATGACAATCTAAAGGATAGTTAACAAAGAAAGTGACTTAAAATTCTGGATATCAAAATTAATAGAACATACTAAATAAAATGGGCTCAGCCAACTATTCACCAAGTAAAATTATATATTTCAAAGCTTGATTCTCAGCTGTGGAGACACATAATTTAGCAACACACTATGAAATGAACTATTTGGAAAAATAGAGATTTTTCCACCTCCCATATTGATGAGTACAGAAGGTAGAAACTGGCCAGGCAGTTTAGAGACAGGGCCTCCAAAAGTAGCAGTTTCAGGAATGTCCTTACTGGAGGCCAGGAATTCTAGAAGGGTGTTCTGGGTTCTCTCTTTTCTTTTTTCTCTTCTCTTCTCTTTCTTTTTATCTGTCTATCTAGTTGTCTGTGTGCCTGTCTGTCTGAGGCAGGGTCTCCTGTACCCCCTAGCTTGCATGGAACTTGCTATGTAGACCAGTCTGGACTCAATTTTACAGAGATCCACTTGCCTCTGCCTCCTGAGTGCTGAAATTAAAGGTGTGGGTCACACGCTACCACATTCTTAAATGAGCATCCCTAATAGGAGGCTGTACACATGGCTGTGACTGAAACTCCAGTTCAGAAACCAATCCCTTCAAGTGAACAGCTTTTGATCTAGATCTTAGGTTTTCAAGGGGAAAATGTTGGAGAACATTAGAGCTCTGTTGAGGCCAAGTAAGGGAGCCTACTTCTTCTGGTCAAAAGAATGGAATCAGCCTCTGGCCCTAGGTTTCTAGAAGTATGACTTACCATTGTTTCCTCCCTTAAGAGTTAATTGAGTTTGGCCTGTCAATCACCTGGCTAAGGAACTTCCACTTAGTAAGGGCCATTTCATCTAAAGCCATGCTACTTAATCATATAATCCCTGCCTTCTCTACAGGGAGTGGCCAAATAGCCCTGTTAAGTCAGTCATCTTATCTGAGTCCTAACTGCACAGTGTTAACTTTTCCTTTTCTTCCTATCTCTTTCTTTTGGATACTGGTCAAAGCCTGGGCATGCTTTCCCCAGCACTTTGGGCTTCTTTACTCTTTCTCTGAAACTCCCCACTTTCTTGCCATGTGGCGGCTTGCTGAACCTCTATTTCTGAACATGCTGGCCTAACTCAAACATGACTTTCTCTCTTCCTTTTCTCCAACTTTCTTCTGGCAGCTGTCCTGCTGTTTTTCTTATAAATTCTAATTGTCCCTTGAGCTTCCTTCTGAGTCAGTTTTAAATTCTTTTATTAAGACTAAGAACCCAAAGAGGGGGCCCATATTTCCCTAGTAAGAATATACCATGAAGAATTAAATTTTTATATATGTTTAACTAAACCAATGAACAGAAGTTGGAAAGATGGCTCAGTCGTTAAGTGAGTTCTGTTCATACAGAAGAATAGAGTTTGCTTCTCAGCACCCAGGTCAAATGTGCCTATCACAGTAAATCAGAAATTTTCCTATATCACATGAAAATAACTCAAAGCTTTCCTCTAGAACCCTCCCCCCAAGCAGAATGCAGACCCACGCACTCATAATGGCATTCATACATGTGCACCTTTCTTTACAGAAACTTTAGCATCATCCAATAAAATAGAGTATCAATATACATTTATACACTAAGAAACACACCCAAAGAAGTGACAGCATGTAACACCCCAAATCCAAGATACAGCATGTATCACCAAAGACATACTTATTTCTAACAACTTGATAACAGGGGAAGAAAACTAGGTTCCCAATCTTCTCCACTTACCCAAGAGCTTTGCAATGATATAAAGGGCCTGTCCCCAGAGAAACAGCTTCCCATCACGGCCACAATTGCTAGGAAATCGCTTTTGACTACCAGGATTTCTTTTTTCATATTCTACAAAGTCTGCTGGCACATAATAGTACTTTGGTACAACAGGATATCCTACAGAGTTCAAAAAAAGCAAATTAAAATATAACAAAACACTGCTTTTCCCCAAATTTCTCTTTAAGAACCTGAAACTACAAGAAAGTGTGAAGAGAGTAAGGTTGTACAAAAGTCTGCAGATCTGCTAAGCTACAGAAAAATGCAGCATTCGTGTTCCTTCAAGAAATTGCCAGTGAGACATATAGGAAAAAAGCTTCCTGACTTTAGAACTAATTCAATGCTTTATACAATACATACCCATCTCCTTTCAATTGAACACCTTTAAATGAATCAGCAAATACATATGCAAATATTTAAAGTAGTGAGAGATGTTATTTTTAATAGGATTAGTCTATCAAACCATCATAAGTGTGATATTGCATAGTCATTACTGATTTATAACTCATTGACTAGAACAAATAAATCCTTATTTATTTATTTATTTATTTATTTGGTCTTTTTGAGACAGGGTCTCCCTGTAGCCCCAACTTGCCTAGAACTCACTATGTAGACCAGGCTGGCCTCGAACTCACAGAGATCCGCCTGCCTCTGCCTCCCAGGTGCTGGGCTTAAAGGTATGTGCCACCACGCCTGGCAATAAATCCTTATTTAAATATTAAATAATAGTCATGCATCGATCAATAATGGTATGTGTTTCTGAAATCAGTGAAAGGTTATGACACATGGAGAATATTGTGAACATTAGCCTCTGAGCATGATGGAGCTTAAAAGTAGAGTATGTTAAGCTACCACTTTCCCGTGTCAATGATCTACCACTGAACAATAAAAAACTTGATTCCAGAAATTTCACATACAGAGTCATTAGACGGTTTCTCAAAGTATACAAGCGAATATTCAGAACACAAATACATGAATAACTACTTTAAAAATTTTAAATTAGTATTTATTTTTATTAAATAAACATTTCACAACTTTTAGCATTATAAGCATTTAAAGGGTAAAGGCAAAATATGCACCTGGCAAGGCTCCTGCCTTTAGAAAGAGCAGGGTTGCCAGGCAACGCTCACCCACCCATACAATTTTTATGACTTGGTTTAATAAAAACTAGCTACTTTATATTATTGTAACACTACACAGAGTGAAGGAGTTACACAGCCAACAAGAGAGTACCAAACTCTGTCCATGTGCAGACTACCTCAGCATTGCTAGAGCCATGACCACCTGAATTCATCTCCATCCTTGTGTTGTCTAACGAAGTGCTTTTGTAAAACATGTTTATTAAAATAAACTCATAGAGATTATTCAAATTTCATACGAGGTCTCATTTATATTACAATTTAATATGGATTACTCTGTTTTATGAAGGACTCATTTATACATTTCAAATAAACACAAAAGAAAGTTTGGCAGGAAGAATTCTTAAAGAAAGAACTATACCTTCTGTGGTCTGATGAAGCAAAGGAGCCAAAAGGTCCTGATATTCCTTGACTTGTTTGGGGTTCCCTTTAAAAACTCCTAAAATGTAAAATACAATATCCAACAGTGGCTGTGTTAAATAAGCATCAGCAAAATTTTGGCTTAAAAAAACATCTTAGCCCCTTAAAAATTATTGTGACAAAAATTTATGTAAATGAAAACATAAAACTGAAAATAGTAATACAAATGTGTGACATTTTTTTTCAAAAAAATTGATTTTAGAAAGCCATGTTAGAAATATAGAAAAATTCAATAAAAAATTTTAAAAAAGAAAGTCATGTTAGCATTTACAATTGAATACTGAGTTAACTGAAATTTCACTATGCTTAAGCATAAATGTTATAGCCAATATCATGATCACAGTAGTCATGATTTCTATAATAAACTTTTCTTTGAAAATATGAGCAATTTACTGGCATCAATACTTCAAAGCAGTTTAAAAAAATCTTCATGCATGTGGAAGGCAAGGACTGATGGCTGAAGTAGTCCTCTGACCTCCACACTTGTGCCATGCCAAGAGTGCACCTGTATTCGTAAAGATAAATGCATACACACACGCATGCATGCACGCACACACACCACACACACATTTTTTACAAACAATTCTTTAAATTAACATTAAATTTAACATTCACTCAGAAAGCAAGAGAGCATAGAGAAATTCAGAGCTGCTCTCATCCCTGAAGCCTAGATGAGAGGATGCATTCATTTCAGCTATTCTTTTCTAAATTTTATTATTTTTATTGCATGTGCAGTACATGTATGTGTTCCTATGGGTGTGTACATGTGTGCATGTAGGTGGACATGCACATGTGTATACATGGGCAAAAACTAGAGGTTGATATGGGGTATCTTCTCCAATTATTTTCTATTTTGCGAGATAGGATCTCCTAACAGAACCTGGAGCTCACTGATTCAGCTAATCTGACTGGCCAGTGTACCCCAGGGCTCTATCTCTGCCTCCTAGCACTGGGATTACAGGTACATGCTACTGTGCCTGGCAATTTACATGGGTGTTGGAGACGGAACTCAGGTCCTAATGCTTTTGTGGCAAGCACTTTACCATTGTGCCATTTCCCCAACCCATCAGCTATACTTTAAACCACTTACATTCTATATCTTAAATTTCAGGAAAAAGCCCACTTACCATCAATCATCATGTAAAGGAAAAATATGGGAAATTCACATTCAATGCCATCAAATAGCTGAAAAAAGAAAGCAAAGTATTAAAATTTTCATTAATAATTTATAGCAACTATATTTGGGTTATATGTAAGGGATTTATTTATAGTAATAACAAGGTTGAAACTGATTTTATTAGTAGTTGCATTGTTCCTTGAAAAATCTTCCTCAGAATTCTCAGTCAAAAGCTCATTCATAGCCGGGAGTGGTGGCGCATGCCTTTAGTCCCAGAACTCAGGAGGCAGAGGCAGGCGGATCTCTGTGAGTTCAAGGCCAGCCTGGTCTACATAGTGAGTTCCAGGACAGCTGGGGCTACAGGGAGACCTTGTCTCAAAAAGACAAAAAAAAAAAATCATTCATTCAACTCATCAGACAGCAATCACTAAATAAATATATACTAAATACTTATGCCCAGTAGTAACTGATGGAGCTCAGAAGACAAAAGTTAGACACTCTGGCCTCAGAAGCTTCCAGCACAGTGGGAAGATTGGCATATGAATAAATAACTACACTACAGCACAAACTGTCCATATCAGGAACACAGGCCATAAAACATCAGAGTCTGCTTTGAGGATCAGTGAAGGGTTATATGGAAAGAAATGTTTCGGTAATACTTGATGGGCTTCACTGGAGTGAGAAGCCAAGGGGAGCCACAGAGAGGAAATAGCAGAAACTTTAGACACATGGAAGGATAAAGTGTGTTAAAGGAACTATCAGCAATTCAGTAAGTCTAGAACAGACAGGAAGAGGTCGTAAAAAACAAAGCCCAGCAATCTGCAGGCCATTTGTGACCTTTTGTGTTCCGGCTCCTGTTGCATGAGGGATCTTCATTAGTGAGAACTGAGATATTCATTAGGCTGACTAGACCTCAGTGGATAAAGATGGTTAAGTGGTTGGCCAGTGAGATGGTTTGGTTGTCCCCTAATGCACTGTGGCATATGGTCTCTCTCTCTCTCTCTCTCTCTCTCTCTCTCTCTCTCTCTCTCTCTCTCTCTCTCTAACAGATAATAAATAAATATAAATAAAATGTAAAAAAGAAATGGTTAAGTGGGAAGGAGAAGCCTAGGGGGTTGGATGGAGGAATAGGGAGCCAAACACAGGCAAGCTGTAGGGCATCTAAGTGAAAATATATGCCATACATGGGAAAGGCACTTGAGGGAGCAGTGTGAGTCACAGATAGAGATGAGTATTAGCAGTGATCACTGTGAGAACTTGAGTAGAATGAAAAGCAAACATGGCTGAGGATGGATCACAAAACAGAAAAAAGAGAAAACTACAAGACTGAGACTGATGGTGACAAAAGAGAATTAGGAAAAAAGTTATCACAGCAAATAGAGAAAGAAAAAAGAGAAAACTACAAGACTGAGACTGATGGTGACAAAAGAGAATTAGGAAAAAAGTTATCACAGCAAATAGAGAAAGGGGACTCAGTTAATACATGCAAATACCAAGGGTTCAGACAAATAGAGTCAGAAAAGTATTCACTCTGACCCAGCAACTGAAACAGACTAAAATCAACCCAGGGTGAGCAGGAGGCGATCAAGGTGTCCCCAGTTAGTGGGGCTATTTCAAGACCTTTTTAAGGTAAGGCTGGGCTAGCAGAAAAGCTCACTAGAAGTGGGCTTTGAGGATTAAAACCTTGATCAACTCTGCTCCCAGCTTGATCTATCCAGCCCCCTGGAGCTCATGCTGCTAGAACTGTTAGCCAATCTCAAAGGCATGCCTTTACTCCATCCCTGAACCATAAGCCAGAATTCATCTTTCTTCCCCTAAATTATTTCTGTCAGACATTCTGTCATAGACAGATGAAAAATAATTAGTACACAAGGTCTGTACACTAAGTACAGACCATGCTTTTCAAAGCCATGTCTACTAACAGAAGATGGGAGACAGATAGGAATAAAGGTTGAGGGAGGGCTTTCATTTGCTTCTTTAATAATAAGCATCCATGTGTTTATATTGAGGAAAAGAAACTGATTTAAGCTGAGAGAAGCAAAATGGAGGGACAGTAGCAGTGGGGAGGGGAGGAGGAGAGGTGTATGTCTTATTAGAGAAGAAAATGCTCAGTAGGATTCTCCACAAAATAAGTCAAGAATGGGACACACACACACGGACACACACACACATCCTCCATATAGTATACTTCAGGAAGAAGAGACAGCACCTTCCATGATAGAAGTTAAGTACTCATGAAGGAAGGAGGGAAGATGGCCATACAGAAATGAACGGCTACCTGCAGAAAATATGGTAAAGAGCTAAGTGCTTGAGGAAAAACTGGAAAAGGCTAGACAGGCTTTTATGGGGAGTTCCTGAGAGCAGTGATGAAGACTGAGTCAACATGGATGTGCTGAATCAGGATGACACCTACCCTTAGTCTGTGGCAGTAGGTGCAGAAGTGGAGAAAGTCTGCTAAACTGACCTGAGTTGAAAGTAAGCAAGGTGGTAGCTGTAGGTGGACCAGTTCAGATATAAATTAGGCAAATCAGCTCCCAGGAAATGAATCTAACAGGAAAGAAACTTTTGAAGGCACTCAGATAAAATGATTTTTTTTTGGGGGGGGGGGCTCACCCTACCAGATTGTAAAACTGCTGTCAAATTTCAAAACTATTCCAAATAAAATCTCTCCTAATACTTCAAAATCAACTGTGAAACTAAATGATAGTTTATCTAGTTATCCTTCAAAACTATGTATCAATTGCAAAACAACTATATGTGTAACACTGCCTAGACATCTCTATACAGATTCATAGGGACACATATCCTCAGTGAGTAGTCAGCTAAGAGCACACTTACAAAAATAATGCTCAGTATATCCCACCAAAGAGAAGTCTGTATAGCAATGTGCATTTGACAGGAGGTGATGCATTTTCTGAACAGTTTAAAGGCAGCTGGTATAAAGTGCATGTAATGGTGTGAGCTTTGTTTATTTCCTTGCTTGTTTTTTTTCCCCAGTGCTAGGGATTGAACCCAAGTGTGTGTATTTGAAACAAAGTATTTTAAAATAAAAAATTAAGAGGACTATATTTCAAAAAGCATCTAAATGAAGTTTTAAAAAGAAAAAGGAGGAGTATTAGTTTTAATCAGACCATTTGCTTAATAGACTAAAAGCTGATCACAAACAGAAACAATACAATATCAGAGAAATAGGCAAAAGCCTGAAAATTCCATAAAAAATTATTCAACCAATGAATTCAAGTGGCCTATAATGAGCAAATGGACTGCATGGTAATAAAATTTAACACTGATTAGTTACTATGCATGAAGCACCATTCTAAGCATTTCTATATTTATTAAATCATTAAATCCTCATGTATAGGTGCTATCTTATCAATAAATAATATTAAACATAGCCATACAGAGCAGGACCACAAATCTAAGAAATTAGTCTCCTGGATCTATGCTTTGACAACTTTCATGCACTACTATATGGACTATTTTTTGGTACCTTAATTTCAGCTGGCTTGTAATAGCGTCTGTTGGGATCTTCCAATGATGTTCTATACCCATCTCTCAAGAAACGTTTAAATCCATATTTTCCCTTTAATTTCCTGATTACTTTATCAAGTGTCTGATTGAACAGAACTTCATCATCCAAGGCAAATGCAGGATAACTGATACATGGGAGCAGAGCAGCATCTGTGTTCTGGTGTCAAGATAAACAGACTGTAAGTGTCTGCTGTGAAATGATCAACACCACCTCAAAAGACGCATCCAACTGCCAATAAGCTTGCTCTGTTCCAAAGGACAGACAGATGTTTCTATGGCATGTTTTAGTAAAACTGATAGAGGAGATCAAACTTTATTCATTAAAAAAAGTATTTTCAAAGTTTAATACCTGGCTGGAGCTTTAAAATATTACTTACTTACATATTACCACAACTTAGTTAACATAAAAATTTGCCCATAATGGTTTAAAAAAGAAAACAAACTAAAGGTCCAAAAACTGACTGAATAAAGTAGCACTCATTAAAATTTATATTGCAGAGCCAGGGGTGGTGGCACATACCTTCAATCTCAGCACTGGGGAGGCAGAGACAGGTAGATCTCTGTGTGATGAGTTCAAGGCCAGCCTGCACTACATAGTGAGTTCCAAGCCAGCTGAGGCTATAAGGAGAACCTGTCTCAAAATATGTCAGAAGCAATTACAATTTACATAATAGAAATTTGGTTACTGGTTATTGATATAGAAGTATGTTTGTTCACAAAACAATACTGTTCTAGCTTTATAAAATAAAAAGTAATGTTCATGTAATATATGAAACATACATATCCAAAGTCAACCTAAGACCACTCAAATTGTATAAAAGACCGTACTTCATTAATAAGCAGATAATGCCTATTTATTGTTTTTTTCATTATAATCTTGTATTACTCATAAAAAATAGTTAACTATATTCTACTTGGGGTATTTTTAAAAGATAGAATCATGCATAATCCCAAGAAAAATGTGTAATCAGGTACAGTAAACATACAGAAGTTCATCAAAGGAAAAGTGAGTCAAATGAGAGAAAAATGAAGAAGAAAACTTTAAAAAGAATATAAGGAATGAACCCTTCTCTCTTTCCCTTTCTCCTACCCACCTCATCTCTTCCTTCTCCCTTCTTGAAGTTTCATTACGCTGTATAGGTTGTTCTTGAACTCTTGGATCAAGTGATCCACTTGAGCGCCTGAGCAGCTGAGACTATAGACAAGTTATCAACACTATGCCTAGCTGAAATGTAGGTGGCGCACGCCTTTAATCCCAGCACTCGGGAGGCAGAGGCAGGCGGATCTCTGTGAGTTCAAGGCCAGCCTGGTCTACATAGTGAGTTCAGGTCAGCTGGGACTACAGTGAGACCCTGTCTCAAAAAGACATATATATAGCTCCATCTACAGCTATTTACTTCCTAAGACCTCAGAGCCCAGAAAGAGAGTAATTTGCATCATGTCTTATCTTGGATGATCTCTAATACTGTATGTGCTTTCTTGGAAAAGTAGGTAAAAAACACACAAAAATTAAAAATGACAGTTCATTTCAGTTTGTTGTAAAAGTTTCTCACATGAGATCTGGATTCCCTGGGTAACAATGAGCACAAAGTCTGTCTGTTCCGATTGTGAGCATCAAGATCCACAAATATAACTGACCAAGAACAGCCCTGGAAACAGAAAAAGAAATACATTTCAAAGAATTGTAAACCTTCTGGCATTCTTACTGAGAGAGAGTTCATAAAATACCACTGACTGCATTTGTGTATGGCATTATTAAAGATGTTAATTTTCCTTTTTATGCTTTTAATGTTTCCTGAATTTCTTGAAACAATTAAATAATCATAAATTATTTCTATATTTTTCCTATTTTCCTTGGTTTGCTTATAAATGTATTAATTTCATAAGATAACTGATGAATTAATTTTAACAAAGATAAAAATAGTTTAGCTAATATGACATGGAATAAAGCAAGAAATAATTTGGATCCATAAATCTGAGTTGTAAATACCTCTTAAATAATTTTGATTATGTGATCAAACTAAGCAAATTTAGGTAACAATCTAGAATCACAGTTATTAAAATATTTAAAGGAGCTGGAGAGATGGTTCAGCAGTTAAGAACACTTGCTGTAATTCTAGAGGAATTGGGTTGGATTCCCAGCACCCACATGGAAGCTATCAACCTTATGTAACTCTGTTCCAGGGGTTCTAACACCCTCTCCTGGCCTCTGTGGGCATTGCATGCATGTGGTGCACTTACATGCAGGCAAAGCACTCATACCAATAAATAAATAAATAAATAAATAAAATATTTTAAAAATATTTGAAGGTAAAAAGTGGAGATAAAAGAATCGCCATTAAGGGGGGCGGGGAGAATCTCTATTAACGATGCTAATAACTTCTCTTTGTTTTACACGGCTTGCCTAATTAAATTACCACAGATAGAAATTATTATCTCCATTTCACTGACAATGACACCAAGCCTTATTAGGACAAAGGTATAAAATAACATCTGCCACAGAAAATCATTTAATGAACCATTAGGTTATATAATTTCCCACTCTAAAAATATCTCTAAGAACAAAAAAAAAATTGAATAAAAAGATAGATGGAACAGAAAATGTCAATGGATCCGCAATACCATTAACAAATTTTTGCCATTTAGCCATTTGTCCATTCCATATGCAACAGCACAGTCATAATTAAGCATGACTTCAATGGGGAGATACTTGCGAAAAAACAAATGAAACCAACAAAAAGCCTACTACATGTCTTGTGTTGCTTTAAAATTACTTTCTAAATCTCCTCCCAATTCTTACCAACATCAAAGACACACTCACCTTGAAACTCAAATACTTGGAATTAATTAATCACCTGGGCTAAAATTTTAAACCTAGTATCACCAGACACCAGATCCAAATATTAGACTCATTAGATATATTGTTGCTGTTAGTTCCTGTTCATTCATGAATATTACTTTGTACAATAGAATGATTCCTTATTGATAACATCACTGAAAGACAAGTCCCTGTCTCAGGCAAGTAAATTGGTAACAGGGAATGAGAAAGGCTTTCTTAACAGCCAAACTGAAGCCATAAACAGTCTTCTTGTTGTCTAAGAGTCCCAGGCTCCCTACCATTTCTACTGTCTTTAGAAAGCACCTTGGAATAGCTGCTATTGTCAGAGTATTATGGATTCTGCATTGAGTAAAACAAACAAGGATGAATTCCCATAACTGAAACAGAACAATCATTAAACAAAGAGATGCACATGGTAATATGTAAGGACCTCACAACTGGCTTACATAGAACAGTGCTAGCAGTAAGCCACCAGGGAAGCTGAAGGAGGTGAAGACAAAGGAGGAGGTAAATTTTGGTAGAAGCAGAAATGAGCAGACAGGACAAATGGCAAGTACAGGAATGACTTTTACAATATGAATATTATTTGGATAATGACTTTTTTTTTTGGATAATGACTTACCTAAGCTTACCTAAAAAGTTGCTGTTTATAATGTAAACAAGTTAACTGAGCCACCACCCCAGGGACTGTGAAATAGTGTTACTGTGGCTTTAAAAGTATGTTTGTGAATTAAGCTGAACTTTGAGCATATATGTATAGAAAGCCTTGTGTCTCATGAGAAAGTTTTACGCAAAAATGCCTGCTGGAGAGATATCTCCAGAATGCTAGTGGTCCCCTCTTGTATCCCATGAAACACAATGACCTCCTAAGTAGACAGCATGGAGATAATGTTGCTATGCTCATGTTATTTCGTTGAACTGTTATAATCTAGCCATGTTATTATTATTTAGTGTTCCATAAACATTTGACTGTGGTTCTCAGAAGCATGAGGAGCCATTTTAGTGTTGTTTAGTTCTGTAGACATGTAGCTGTAGTTCTAACACAATGAGAAGGAAAGCAGAGCTGCCGTGCTATAGGCACTTGTATGTGAAGAAGCCATTCAGGCCTCCTGGCTATTTACTCAGTTCCATAATAATCATTCAGGTCCAGTGGCTGCCCCCCTGGCAGCCACAATCAACTTCTCTTCTGAGCTGGGCAACTAATCTTAATCCCTCAGAACGCCTCCTTGCTCTCCACCCAAGATAATGAATGAATGTAGGTGAGCATAATTAAGATATCAAAGCACTGAAAACAATGAGAAAAACTGAGAAGTCAGTTTATAATTGAGTGTGTGATATTTTAGGCCTAAGGGCAAGCTCAAAGGGCGAGATTCTCTGATGGTAAGAGTAGGTCCCAGTTTTTACTTCCCCAATTCATGCTGGAGATACTGTTTCAATAAGAAAATGAGTGAAGGGCTTGAGAGCAAAGTTCTGTGAGACATCTGAAGGAACAAGTTCTCAGTGTTCAGGTCCACTCTTGGCCTTAAAATGAATGTTGAAAGGCAGGGTGTTTCTTTATTCATGTATAACTGTTAGGTGGCATAGAAAAGCCAAAGACAAGAAAATACCTAAGTATCATGTTATAGGTTCATGAATACAAAAAATAATAGGAACTATAATTTATCCATAGGCCCATAATTAGTAAATGTAATTGCATGTCAAACAATCTGTCTGGAATTTAATTTTAAAAATATATAATTTGTAAGCTGGGCATGGTGGTGCATGCCTTTAGTCCCAGCACTCCAGAGGCAGAGGCAGGTGGATCTCTGTGGGTCTACACAGTGAGTTCCAGGCCAGCTGGGGCTACAGGAAGAACCTGACTCAAAAAGATCAAAAACAAAATTATACATATAATTTGTAAAAGGATAATTTATAAATAATAAAACAAAATTGTACATTTGGCTAGGCTCTTTATTATTTGATAATGTAAACAGTAAACAGTAATGTTTTGGCCACAAGTAAATAATTTTTAAATTTAAACTCATCAAGGATATGTTGAGGTCCCACTTCTCATCTCTCAGCCTTTAAGATATAAGCCTAAGAGAAAAGTAGGCTCAAAAGGTGACATATGTTTAATACTGAGTGAACACAGCTTATATTTTTATAAGTGAACTCTATTGTTTGGCAGTTCTCTTATAAAAATATATACCATGTTTTAGGTATTATGGCCCAGATTTCCAGGCACATTTAAAAAAAAATTGGAGCTGGAGAGATGGCTCAGTGGTTAAGAACACTGGTTGTTCTTGCAGAGAACCCGGGTTCAAATCCCAGCACCCACATGGCAGCTAACAACTGTCCATAACTCCAGTTCCAGGGGATCTGACAGCCTTTTCTGTCCTCTGTGGGCATTGCATGACATGGGTGAACTTACTACATGAAGGCAATACACTCATACACATAAAAAATAAAAATAATGAATAAAATATTTTATAATCACACAAGGTCAGGACAGATATTTTCCATTGAGAAGCAAGCTCTTAAAGAAGTCTCAAGGAGAACCCACATAAAATTATTACCTACTTTAAATAATCAGACACATTACTTTCAGGCTTGCAAATTTCAAAGTAAGATGTCTTCACTGCTTGGAACACTTTGCAGAACACGAGCAAGCTCTCTCATCACCACCTTTCAAATCCTGGTCACAGTGCACCTGTCACTCTCTAGGCTTCCGCAACTAAAGGCAAAACTATGGAAGAATGTTTTATAGGTATACATCCCTTAATAGATCCTATTAACATTAGTTATTTAATTTTCATCTTTAACTTCCTAAAATCATCACAACTCTGCCCTAATATGCTGACTCCACCTGAAGAGCCTCTTTTGTAAAACAGCTCTCCAACTAAGTTTCTATAAGTGTTCTGTTCTAACAAATGCACAAGATGACTGAACTTGATCATTATCATGAGGACTCGAGTCCCCCCCTGCCCTGCCCCGCTTAAACTTCATGACCAGAACAGTTTTCAGGTGGTTTCTAAGGCCAAAGGTAGTGTCTGTGACCCTAAGATACTGCTAATACCAAAGTTCTCAATTAACTGAAATGAGACAAGTGTAGGGCCAATTCTGGCATGAGTATTATTAGTGTTATTATCTTTTGGGCAGTCTCCATGCACCTGGAGCATAGATGGGTACTATCAAGACTCTTGTGATTTTGTGGATGCTATCAGGTGGTCTCCTATGCCATGCATGGCTCTGAAAGGTGTTCTTAGAAAGCTATATACCTTCACTGTGGTGAAGTGATGCAGTTTACCTTGTTAGTACTAGGCTAAGTGTGTCTTGGGAGAAAAGGGGGCTTCAAGTAAAGATGGGAGAAGACAAGCTACTTCTGTCTTTGAGTCATCAAAGAAAAGAATGAGGACAAAAATTGATAAAGTCTATTCCAAGAAGAAAAATAGCTAAAGAACAATAGAAACATGTGAAGCAATTTAAAGAACAGCAGAACACAGCACCAATGGACCTTTCACATTCCCTCATAGCCTGGGTCCTAGAAAGCCAGCAAGGAAAGTGCCATTGCCAGAAAACCTGAGACAGAATTGAGTGTGGGGTGGGGAGATGTTAGATTAGGGAATACTTGAAAAGGGGGAGTCCTCTTTAAAGAAAAATCATAAACATGATCAAGGGATTCGATGAATTTAAAGAACACACAAAAAATCAAAGAATTAAAAGAAGATAGGGATGAACTTCTGAATGAAGTCACGAAAGAGATGGAAACATTGAAGAAAAACTCAGGTAGAAATGAAGAAGTGTAAAACTCAATAAGCAAAATTGAAACAA